GCTGTGTTTGAGCCAGCGGTTCAATATCAAACAGTAGTTTTTATCGCGACATGCAGACCACACTGATCACCAGGAAATTCAAAGTCCCGTATATAAATACACAACATTTCGGTTGTACTGTCCCATGCTGCACCCACTGGTAAAGAAGAGAATGTATGATAGCAATTGTGACGAACTTACCAGGCACATCCTCATCTTCCATCTTACTACAGTTGTGTGCAGAGATAACTCGGTGCAGACTGTCCTACACTGCAGCTGCAACAAAACACAACGAACAGAGCGACAAGTGAGCAACTCAATGTCTTAAAAACTGTAGCATGATATACACAAGTACAGACAACATTGCAGAAAAAGGCTACCATACGCAATCGAGGGTAATTTATTGCATTGTTGGTTCATTTCACATCCTAGGGTAGGCAGGATTTAAAATTAATCCTGAATTCTCAGACTGCTGCAGCTGAGGTCATCACTAAACCAAAGTGGGACACCCATGCAGAATGGAATATTGTTAGAAACAGTGGCTAAAGTCTCTCAATGATTATCAGGACCAGGTGCCATATTTTCCCGTTTATACGCCGCACTTTTTAACATTCCTAATTCACCCCAATTCACCGCTCAGTGCAGCTTATACTCAGTGGTCAAATGAAGTGGTCAAATAAAGGGTAGATGTTGGTATTTGGTGATACAAATCTGGGTGAGGCTTATCTACTATCAACAATGTGGTAGTCACCCAATACAGAATATCTGCACATAACTTTGAGATGGACTCGGGTATACATTCTGTATTTAAACTCATCAAAGCATCTTCTCAAGCAATCAAGACCCCACACTGGCGTCTCCGCCAGCAGCAGCATGTCCAGAAACAGAATCAGCAAGTACAAACACCCCCCTCCTGACACAATCTAGCGAAGGGGCAATCTGGTAGCTTTTTTAGTTCGGAGCGGTGCATATCTCAGAGAATGTGCTCATCGCTTCAGTCTGGTTTTCGATGCATCCTTGGGTGAGGGTGGGGGACACCGAACATCTCGAGCAAATACCAAGTGCTGGATGAGGGGTCGAGTCGTATGCCTTTCTCAGACCGACAAAGAGAGCACACAACGGCGCGTAATGTAAGTAACATTTCTCGATCAATTGCCTGGCAACAGACATCATGTCTGCACAATGCACATCCTCTGACCTGGTGAAAAGCACACTGTGATTCGGAGAGCACATTCTCCAAGTTGGTCTGCAACCCGTTCTGGATAATTCGCGCAAACAACTTGCCAACAACATCCAATAGGCTGACACCCCTCCAGTTGTCGCAACTGTCAAGCACCCCCCCCCCCCCCCCCACACACACACACGTCAGCACCCCCCCCCCCCCATACACACACCAATATACCCACACAAACGACACCCCCCCCCCCCCCACACACACACACATATTACACCCGTACATCCACCCACACACTTGCGCACGTGCACACACACACACACACCCACGCACGCACACACACACACACACACACACACACACGCGTGCACGCACACACACACACACACACACACACGCACACACACACACACACACACACACACCGTTCCTGTTGCTATCACCAGCACCGTCTACAACAGCATAATGTACACATTTTCTAGGTTCTGACACAGGCATATCAGCATGCTGACATGCACGCACACAAACACATGCTTGCCGGCATACCCAGACAATCTGCACGTCAATGCATTCCAAGCCTATCCGCACACCCAGACAATCTGCACGTCAATGCATTCCAAGCCTATCCGCACACCCAGACAATCTGCACGTGCATGCTTTTCAAGCCTATCCGCACACCCAGCCCACATGTGCCCGCATGCTTCCCATGGCTGTCCGCACACACAGCCCATCTTCGCGCACGCTCGCGCACACACAGCCAATCTGTGCGTGTATGTTTCCCATGCCCGCTGCCAATACAGGAACATGGATGTTTGATGGGCAAGTTGGTTGCCCTTACATCTGTGCACGACAACTATTAGGTACCAGCTGCTGAATAACACAGTGATGACTGCATAGACAACTGAGGAGGGTGCGAAAAAGTCTCAACTTAATTCCATTGCTCTGCCCACAGAAACTCAGTGAATGTTATGTCATAAACTGCAATGCTCAAAGCATGATTGCGTGTTTATCGGACACCGTTTGATTTCCATCACCCAATATTCCGCAACCTCCTACAAATTCAAAGGACCTCCCTCCTGCATCCCACCTCTTCGGGTGTGTTCGGTTGGTACGATCTAGAACAGGGTTGAACAGCTTGTGCACATGGAGCAGCCTCATGCCAACCAAACGCTACTCCAGAAACAGGGCACATCTTTGTGAAAAGTGTGCCTAACGTGGCGCATTCTTCAAAATGTTTACAAGTCACCATAGTCACTTTTTTACGGTACAACGAGTGCATGCCAAGTCCAACACGAAAGCGTATGCACGTGATCATTTGGGACCAAAATCGATGTTCCTGCCAGGTTTCACTGTGGAAAAATGTAACTGCTCAATCTGCTAAGGCCTGGAGGCCGAAGCAAGCAGAACATGTTCTGGCTAACCTAGAACAGGTGGAGTCCCAACCAAACACGCTGTTCTCTTGAATCCTGTCCTAGGTTGTTCCAACCAAACACGCTCTTTGAAACACATGTACCTGTACACACACACACACACACACACACACACACACACACACACACACACACACACACACACACACACACATACCCCCCCCCCCCACACACACACACCATGCACCATGTGCCATGTATACGCCCGTCGCAAGAGAAGCACGCAAATCTGCAAATGCACTGGATGTGCATCCACAGATTTTCTGTTATAGCAACGATAGCGGACAAGATCTGAATGAGACACACCAAGACTAGCGCCAGATAACTGTCCAATCCACACAACTGGCGAAGCCATGTGAATCGACCACCAATGCACACCTGCTCTACACCACACGAGTACATCTGCATAAAACGGCCAAGACAGTTACCTATGCACACCCTACACTTGCTGGGGTAACCAGTATAGACAGCACGCTGCTTTGATAGAAGCAGACACTAGATGCACAGGTACCTTGAAGGTGAAATTGGAGATACTTTACCAACCAATCTCGGCTACTGAGTACTGGGAACCCAGAGCCAACAGACATACCAACAACCACAGGCATGAAAGCTATCAGTATACCAACGACACAATGGATTATGGAGCCGGAACCAGTCCAACTAACTTCCAAATGCTTTGGCAAGAAGGACTTAGGTAGCCTTCCGCAATGCACACACGCGCGCGCGCGCGCGCGCGTGCGTGCCTCCATCCCCACACACATACAACGGATGCACTCGTCCACCTGTGATCTATAAGCACATTGGTGATGAACACATCCAAACACCACACCTGCATGCACTACAACTGCATGATTGTATTGCATGAAACAAAATGCCACTTGTAGTTGTACACTCTCGGGGCTGGGGTGAGTGTTCTCGATGCAAGCTTGCAGTAGCAATGCTGCATTACTACACTGCTGGCAACTGAAATCCGACCCCACGAGCGGTGCGCTCTCACATCGCAAAGACCCAACACGGGATGGTAAAACTACGAAACAGAGATCGCTAGAATGTGAACCCATCGCTCAGGGGGTCGGATTTCAGTTGCCAGCATTGTAGTACATGCGCTGTGCTGCTCAATGAAATCCAGTAGCGTCACACTGCTGTGGTTGGCTTTCACCCTTGTCTCAGTTTTTACTGGCCGTCATCATGATGTGCCATGAGATAATGATGTAAATACAAATACACTCTAGTACGCGCCGGGCGTTGCGCAGCCCTACACCTGCGAACACCGGGCTGCGAAATGAGGCAAGGCGCAAATTTGAGTGACACGACTGGATTTCATTGACCAGCACTGTACCAGCTAACCAAAGTGTGAATTTCAATGGTTACAACTGTGCAATCTAGATGAACTTAGTGACTACAGTCGCGGACATGGAAATCCGGTCGCACGTCTACCGGCTCCAGGGCGCTGGCCATGCAGCCATGGGTAAGCGGTACATATGCGCTGCAGCGCGCCGGTCACATCGGATCAACATAACATTGCGTGCAACAACGTTACGTTCTGTACGCGCTGAAGGCACCGGCGCCGGTCATTCGACTGGATTTCCATGTCCACGACAGTAGTACTACGTTACCCTACCCTGCAACATTGGTACTCTGCCCATACAAATAATTGAAGTCTTCCTGTGCATGCAAAGCATGAGACGTCTAGGCCTTTCCCCAGGTCCTATCCACGTCAATACGTCTCAGTGTGCAGACTGAATGCAACTGGAGCGTTCATTTGATAACGTTATCAGGGGCACGACGGGAAATACATTTTATTCCATAGCCAACCCTGTTTATTGCACTACAACTTTGTAGTACGCACGGTTCTGTGCTACAGGGCAAGAGTACTACGCAAATTTTACGCCATAATTATAGTTATTACAATGGATTCATTCAATTATTTGTAATAATCCAAGAATCCTTTGCGCTGAGCTCATACGCAACAGCGAGCAACGGGCAGTCGTACCAGATGCGCTGGTTCACCTGGACAGACTGTACCGACCGTAATGTGACTCCAGCGCGTCTCGCACACACTTACCTCGAGAGGATTTCTTCCCCGGATTTTCCACCGCAAAGTGTGGTGTTGCTTTGCAGCGACGCTCCACACCGGAGACTAGACTGAACGACTGGATCGTAGGACGCTACGGTGCCGATAGAGTCAAACCTGACGCTAAAGTATTCAGCGTAATCACTAGGGAAATGAGGACGCTTTCCAGCTAGAATTCGAGAATGCTGAATTACTCATTCAAGGACCAAAATAATGATCCTTCTTTGATTTCTTGCTGCACTCCCAATGGAGCGCACGGCGCGGTGTAGTGCAATAGGCAGACACAGACTCGACTACACGTCAGCCTTGTGTGAATGTGAAGACCATGGAAGACTATAAACGTTCGAAGTGCTCGTGTTAGCAACTTAGCAGGTGTAACAAAACCAAGACTCCAGTAAGTAACCAAGTTGCCAAGAGTCAAGACATGATAAAGACAACTAACTATGTTACTTCATAAGTTAGTTCTCTCCGCATCATGTAGTCTTGTAGCCTACATGATGACCGGTAGACTATGATCAGGGAGCCGTACAAACCCGTAGACCTGACTACAGTACAGTACTGCATGCAGTACACTGGCTAGCTCTCTGACCATGAACCGGATTGATCATCTGAAGTGGTGATCGATACGCGATATCGATAGCGAGTCCGAAGGACTGGTGACCATGGTGACGTCCGTGCTATGCAAAATGCGCGCATACAAAATAAAGATTTTTGTTGTTGTTTTCCAGCCCATGCACGCGCGTACCGGTACGTACATGTACAGCTAGCTAGCCGCAGATCAAACTCCGTGCGCACCAAATCCCGCAAAGCCGATCAAAATCAACGAAAATGTCAAGCCAGGTGAACCGTGATATCGGCATGATCATAAAATTCTTCATTTTTCGCATACACTACCTGATCCGGGGCGCTAGACCATGTATGATGTAGACATAGCACGCAGTCTCTTGTCTCCACGACTCCAGTAGATCATCTGATCATGATCTACTGACAGGCTCGTACTGTCGACATGTCGTGGACATGGAAATCCAGTCGAATGACGTCGTGACCGGGGCCGGCGCCCTCTGCACGTACAGACCTTTGATTTGAATGCAGTGCATACATGTATGTAACTGTTGATTCGATGCCACCAGAAAAATTTAATGCATGTGTGCACCGCTTCACACGGCTGCGTGGCGCCCTGAGGCCACTACCATGACTACTGGCACTAGACAGTAGACATGGTAGACGTGCCACGGGATTTCCATGTCCACAACAGTAGATCTAACACTGACACTCGTCGTTATCGGCTGCACTGCAGTACTGACTCTGACTGTCATTACTAAAGATTACCAGATTACCACAGACTGAGGTCTTGACTCTTTAGTACTTTAGTCCACCATTCGCCATGGTGGACCCCATAAAGGCTAACAATGTTAGGGTGTCATTTTCATCAGTAATTTTACTAATACGATCATGCAGTCCAAGACCATTCAAAATTTTGATGAGAACGACGATGGGAGGATGCACTTTTTCTTCAAGGCCATAACAGGGATACACACACTACCAATAAATAAAACGAAGATACTATGACGTTTGCGTATCGCTAGGAACAGCTGAGAGAGGGACGCCAGCCTCAGCCGTAGGGACCGGCGGATTCTGCTCGAAAAGCAGTGAAATTGGCAGAACCATACAAACCTTATGGCGGGCAATTCCTCGAATTCTGCTCCATTTTGTTATCCACATACCAAACATGCATGAAACTTACCAGAAAAAGTACCGAATTCTGCCAATTTTTCTGCCGGCAGAATCCGCCGGACTCTACGCCAGGGCCAATCGCCAAGGGCAGAAGTTGGAAAAATAAAGAAAAGAATAATAGAAAAGAAAGAAAAGGACAATTCAGAACAAACGCTACACAAGTAAATTTAACTGACTGAGTATCAAGAAGAAGAAGACATCCAGGAACGAACAAAGACTACACGGCTGACATTGCAATGGCAGGAGGACTCAAACGACTCCCGTTACGAGTCCCGTAGTATAATGAGGGTCAGAACCAGGGCTAACACCCATTCGGTTCGGATGGTCGCAAGACCGGGAGCTCTGCCAACGGTGGATGGTTGTAGTAAGGTTACTAAGGTCACTGTTTCCGAACACGGTGGTCCTCTGCCTGCTTGTAACATGCTATCAACCAACAACAAGACACAGTAACAGTTACATGACATGTAAATCATGTAGATCTCTTGGCTTGAGGTTCTTTTCAGCTTTTGCCGTTTCGGTGGCGAATCGGTGCGGCTGTTGCATATGCGCAATAATGGGCATTGGCGGATAATGCTCGGAAAGTCAGCAGATTCTGCTCGAAAAGCAGTGAAATTGGCAGGACCATACAAACCTTATGGCGGGCATTTGCTCGACTTCTGCTCCATACATGTATCTTTATCCACATACCAAGATTCATGTAACTTACCAGAAAAAGTACCGAATTCCGCCAATTTTTTTGCCGGCATTATCCGCAGTTGCCTAATGCGCATGTGTACCGTATGTCCATGCACATTTTAAAACTGTCATACAACGAAAATTTCTTCATTTTGCCCAAAACAAACGTCACCTGCAGTCCTGCACCCGATACCTGGATACCCTCGGCCTCGGACTCGTCTGTCAGTGTCACTCTGCCAGCTCTGGTCTGGATCACCGTGATCACAGTCAGTCGTAGAATCTTCGCCCCGGAGACCTCGGGTTTGTGCGACTCCCTATTATCTGAGTCTAGTCTACCAGGTCTACATGATGCGGGGAGAAGTAATAATTAGTTTGTCTTGGTATTGACACACCCGGTATGAGCACTTCAAACGTTCAAGTCTTCACGTCTTGTAGTTGTACACTCACAGCAGGTTGAAGTGTAGTCGAGTCTGTGTTTGCTTAGTCCACTACACCGAGCTGCCGTAGATTCTACGCTCCAGCCTGAGTGCAGCAAGAACTCAAAGAAGGATCATTATTATTTTGGGCCTTGAATAAGTAATTCAGCATTCTCACGACACGGTTGGAAATTCTAGCCAGAAAACGTCCTCATTCCGTTAGTGATTACGCTGAATACTTCAGCTTCAGGTTTGATTCTATTAGCATCGTAGCGTCGAGGGTTCGAGTAGTTCAGTCTTCGGTGTGGAGCGTCGCTGCAAAGCAACACCATACTTTGCGGTGGAAAATCCGGGGAAGATTATCCTCTCGAGCCAGTCGAGGTAAGTGTGCGCTGCTGTGTATAACTATAAGCTCAGCGCAAAGAATTCTTGGATATTTGAGTGAATCCATTGTAGTAACATACTGACTGTTGTGGACATGGAAATCCTGTCTTACGTCTAGAGGCCCCATTGTGCTGGCCCTGCAGCCGTGGATAAGCGGTACACACATGCATTTTATGCGCTGCAGCGCGCTAGTCGCATCGGATCGACATGTGCCCTGCACGCAGCGTTCTGTACGCGCTGAGAGCGCCGGCCCTGGTCAATCGACCGGATTTCCATGTCCACGACAGTATTTATGGCATAAAACTTGCGCAGTACACTTGCGCTGCAGAACACGACTGTGCGTCCAAGTGCAATAAGCAGGGTTGGCTATGGAAACACTTGCAGTTCCTGTGTCGCCCCTGATAACGTAACTCGTCATCAAAATTTAATGAATGGTCCAGTTGCATTCATCCTACACACTGAGACTAGTTGACGTGAATATGATCTGAGAAAATGGTCTAAACCCGGGGCGGACATGTAGCTTGTGTCCTTTTCAGGTGTTTGCACAGACGCATATGTGTAAGATGGCTGGCGCATGTCATTCATAGTCATTATGTGCATGTCATTCATAGTCAGGGTTCCAACCCCATCAAAATAGTAGAGGGGGGGGGGGGGGGCACGGTAAACAGTTACCCCGTCTCCCATTTTTCCACTTTCCAATATTGTCTTGCCACGCGAAATGCAACGTATGGGGCGAATCCCCGACTTCGCCCCAGACAAATGTGCCTTCATTTAAAACTAATAGTGACTTTCAACTGTATTTGTATTCGTACTCAGAGGCGTAGGTCAAAACATTTACATGTAGATGGGGGGGGGGGGGGGGGGTGCACGTGCTCCCGTGCTCAATGCGGACTACGCGTCTATAATAATCCGTTGCATGCACACAAAGACTTCATCTTGCATGGGGCAGAGTAACATTGTTGCAGGCGTAGGGTTCCTTAGTTCATCTAAATTACACAGCTGTTACAATTGAAATTATTCATTTTCTGGTTTAGTAGTACATGGCTGTACTAGTGTTGGAGCATTCGTACTGCAAACGTGCATCCAGGAATCTCACCCCTGCCTGGCCCCAGAGTGTGCAACTACAAAAGTTGACGACATTATTTTGGTATGATGGCATGCACGCAGTTACAGGGCGGCTGTTGGCGTAATTATGTATATAGGTCAAAGGTCTGCGAGTGCATCCGTGCGCTCGTGTGTGTGTGTGTTCATGTGTGTGTGTGTGTGTGTGTGTGTGTGTGTGTGTGAGTGTGTGTGTGTGTGTTTGTGTGTGTGCATATGCGTGCGAACTTGTGTTTCTAAGGGGCTGGATGCAGGAAGGGGGGGGGGGGGTGCTGTGAATTTCTCGTAGAATTGCATAATGGAATGCACTGTGTGTCAAATAAGCACACAAGCATGTCGCAAGCATTGCGTCATACAATTATAACTTAGACTGAGTTTGTGTGGGAAGAACATTGCATGCGGTATTTACTTTTCATACTCTGCAGCCCGCAGTTATGTATGTAAACATTGCTAGGTCAAAGTATACAGTTGAGCAGCCTGCATCTGGTGGCTGCTGTCCATGTGTGCGGGCACTCTTTTTATACATCAGTCATTCATGTGCATCGAGTGGGTAGGGGTAGCATGCGTGCACGGATGTGCCGTGTGCGTGCATAGATGTGACATGTGCGTGCACAGATGTGGCATGTGCGCGCACAGATGTGACGTGTGGGTGCGCACAGATGTGCTGGGTGTGCGCCCAGGCATGGAAAGCATGCGCATGCAGAAGAGCTGTTTGTGCAGAAACGCATGGGTAGCGTGCCGGCACATTGTCTGTGTGTGAGGACAGTGATGGGTGTGTGCAGGTCAGCATGCCGATGTGTGTCCAAACACGTGTAAATATACTGCAGTGGTGGAGATGGTGCAGGTGATGACAAAATGAGCGTGTTGTCTATACTGGTTACCCCAGCAAGAGTATGATGTGCAGAGGTGACTGTCTTTGCCGTCCAATTCCGATGTACTCCGTGTATTGTATGTAGACCAGGTGTGCATTGGGGGGTCGATTCACATGGCTTCCTCAGTCATGTGGGTTAGACAGTTATCTGGCGCTAGTCTTGATCTGTTTTATTCGGATCTTGTCCTCCGCTATCGTGGCGACAGTGTATAAGAGAAAATAAATTTTGTGGGTGCACATCCAGTTTGAGTACATTTGCAAATTAGTGGGCCTCTCTTGCGACAGGCGTATACATGGTACAAGGTGTCTGTGCATGTGGGTGAGTGAGTGGGTGGGTAGGCGAGGTTGTGTGTTTTTGTGGGGGGGGGGGGGAGTGAGGTGTGTGTGGGCGTGCGTGTGTGTGTGTGACTGTGTGGTGTGTGTGTGTGTGAGGGGGTGGTGTTGGTGTGTATGTTTGGGGGGGGGGGGGAGGGGTGAGTGAGTGTGTTTGTGTATGGGTGCTGGTGGTGGGTGGTGGGGGGGGGGGGGGGGGGGGGGGAGTGGGCGTGATTGTTGCTGGTCCCGGTTGCAGATTCTGTTTCTAGCCATTCCGCTGTTGCTGATGTGGACACCAGTGGTGGGTTTTCAATGCTGGAGAAGATGATGATTGTAATGAGTTTTGCTCACACTATCGTTTTTATTTACGATGCTTCAGTTGTACTAATAGTCCTATATTGGCTCCTACTGTTGTCCCAGTTTAGAACGTATACTAGTGTTCTGCTCAGAGTGATGTAACGCTGTTCTGTATGGGGTGACTACTAGAACCTGGTTCTGATATTCATTGACAGACTCTAACTACTGCTGCCGTATACGGGACAGTTGTTCTGTATGGATGACTGAATGTCATGCTTTGGTACAGCGATGACGTTAGTTTGCCGCAGTGTGAGCATTCACGATTTTTAGTGTATTGCAGTTTTGGCAGTGATAGCTCCACGTGTACTGCACGTCTAGCGTCATTTGGCGCACGTGGGTAGTGTTGATAACTGGACCCATTGCCGGTTTAGCTGCGCCACTGCTTTGGCTGCGATTGCTGTGTGCTCCCCCCGCCCCCCCCCCCCTTGATTTCCCGCTGGCGTTTGCACCATGATAGTTTGTAGCTACCTAACAGATTTAAATTCTGCAAATGCTGGTGTTTATACATTGTGCAATTACTCAGCGTTATTTAAAAAATAATATCAATTTAAAAATAAATAGAACTCACGTGTCACTAGTTAGTGTGGCGGCTATGGTGTAAGCCCATTGCGTATCGCCAGAAAGGAATGTACTGTCGTGGACATGGAAATCTGGTCGATTGACCCGGGCCGGCGCCCTCAGCGCGTACAGAACGCAGCGTGCAGGGCACATGTTGATCCGACGCGACTAGCACGCTGCAGCGCATAAAATGCATGTGTGTACCGCTTATCCACGGCTGCATGGCCAGCACCCTGGGGCCGCCAGACGTGCGACCGGATTTCCATGTCCACAACAGTATGATTAATTCATATCACTACTCTTGGATGTACTATCTCTCGCCTGTCGAATCCAGGGAGATAGGTGAGAAATGATTTCTCGCGCAATATTTTCCTGTTGAAAGTCAACTGTACTTGTGTACATCATGATACTGTTTTTCATGACATTGAGTTGCTCACTTGTTGCTCTGTCCATTGGGTTTTCGTGCACCTGCTGTGTAGGAAAGTCTGCACTGAGTTATCCCTGCGCACAGCTTCAGCGAGATGGAAGATGAGAATGTGCCTGGTAAGTTCGTCACAATTGCTAAAATACATTTCTCTTCTTTACCAGTATGTGCAGCATGAATAGTTGTGGCAATGAGTTTCTGGATCGACGTACATTATACACTTGGGAAAGTTTCAATGCTGAGAACTGGTTTTGATTAAATTGTGTTGGATTCCGGTCACTGTTTGGTATAATTATGTCAGGGAGTGGTAGTATCAAGCTGGATAGCCAACCCGGGTGACTAAAACACCAAACAATGAGGGTCTCCTGCTCTGGTTGTCAGACCCAGTCACCCTTAGGGGCCGTCCGTAAATATCGAACTTTTTTCACCAAACGAATTATTTTAGTTTAGACCCAACCCCTCCCTCCCTCCCCCTCAGAACGTAAAAATTGTTGACATATACAGCGCATATACAACAAAACCCGCAAGTGTGTAACTGCTCCTATGGCCATGTACATGTATCGAACTTTTCTGAAACGAAATTGATCAACCCCCTCCCACCCCATAACGAAATTATTTCGTTTCGTGAAAAAAGTTCGATAATTATGGACGACCCCTTAGAGCACGGCCAATTCATGTATGTTCCCGTGCGGCTTCGCGAGACCGGCTGTGTTTCTATCCAGGGGATTGATAACGCCGTGTTGATGGTGACATTCAGAGATCACTGATCATGAGGAAACGCACAACATTTTCGGTTCTCTCATGTTATCTACCTATATTCTTGGACTCTCTGTGGAGAGCAGCCTTGATTTTACTTTTCCAAAACTTGCATCCTTAGTTCTTGACGTGGCTTTATTTTGTAATGATTTGTCTCTTTTTTTGGCCAAGACTGTTGTAGCTGCTGATGGCTGCAGTGGTGATCATGAGAGCAGTAGTAGGAATGAAAGTTGTGGTAGCTAAGAGAGTGTTGGGGGGGGGGGGGAGGGGGAGGGGGGGGGGAGTACCAGTATCAACGGTGGGTCTGGTGCTTCAGGAGTGCATTTCTCATACTTTGGCACTCTCAGTAGGAATAGAACTGCTACTACTTCAGTTGTTTCTACTGATGTCGTGGCTATATGGCTATACTGTATTGTGTGTAGTCACGGTTGAGAAACTCAATGCTACAATCATAGATGTAGATATCAACTTCAGAATAAATCAGGCCACAATGAGTTATGTTTCTTCTCTCTGACTGTGTGTGTGTGTGTGTGTGTGTATGTGTGCGTGTGCACGTATGTGTGTGTTTGTGTGTGTGTGTGTGTGTGTGTGTACGTGCATGCGTGTGTGCGTGGGCATGTGTATGTGTGTGTGTGTTTTTTTGCTTTGTTTAGCTGCCGCAGGCAATCCGTTTGACTCGCCCGAGTTCATTGCTGACATACATCCGTGGTTGCTGACTGTGGATGCCGACATGTTCAGGGAAGCAGCACAGCAAACCCAACTGCTGCGCACCTTAGCCATTGTTGCAAACCTGGAAGACACTCTGCAGCGGGAAGGCTGGGAGGCTCAAAACACAGTGTCTGCGATTCAAAATTCGTAGTGAGTCTCGGCAAACTGCGACACAACATACATGTTAGTATGGCCCTGGACATAGACTTGTAGTGCACGCGTAGCGCATGCGCATGTGTAGCTTTACAGTGTGTGTGGCTGGTTAGGCGCCACGAGGCGGCGCGGCATGCACTGTGACTAGATTAGACTGTGTGTGTGTGTGTGTGTGTGTGTGTGTGTGTGTGTGTGTGTGCGTGTGTGTGTGCGTGCGTGCGTGCGTGTGTGGTTGTCCAGCCTGCACTGCAGGTTGATTCTCAACGGTACGCACGCGCGGGCCGCCTGACCATGTCCATATGTCGCACTTTCTCCGTGCGCACACTGCAGCATGTGCACTTGGAAACTAACTCACTTACTTGAAGTGCAGCCCATGCCCAGGAAGTACTTCACGAGCTTTTGAGATTTAGACCGCGTTCCTTCACTAGCAGTAGGCGTCTCGACCGTTCAGGACTTATCTTTGTAAAATTCTGCTTGCCTTATTGATGAAGTCTCTTCACTGCCGACATGTCTGTGAGGCAAGGTACTGTGGACAAGTGGATTGCTGAATTTGATCCCAAAAAAGAATGGATTCACGCAGAGTCGAGTGGTGGAGCTGTGACCAAGATATTTTGCAAGATGTGCAGGGAGAAGGCGTCCTCGCTTCGTGGTTTGAGGACTTACAGCACAGCGTTCGTTGACGGAAAAAAACTGCTATGCAAAATTGTTGCGTTGCTATGCAAACGTCGGGGTGTGTAGCAATTATTGCTACGCAAATTTTTTGAAGTAAATTAGTCCCTGCAGTGTATACGGCGACTCTACTGTGCATAGACTGTAGTCCATGAAAATACGAACAATCTAGGCTAGGGCCAGTAGGGGGCTGTCCCCCAGTTCTTCAGCACCAGACAGTACTCTATTGTCCACTGATGGTAGTAATCCTTTGGGAAATAGTACGGAATAGTATGGAATAGTATGGAATAGTATGGAATAGTGTGAAATAGTATGGAATAGTATGGAGTAGTATTGAATAGTATGGAATAGTATGGAATAGTATGGAGTAGTATGGAATAGTATGGAATAGTATAGAATAGTATGGAATAGTATGGAATAGTATAAAATAGTATGGAATAGTATGGAGTAGTATGGAATAGTATGGAGTAGTATGGAATAGTATGGAGTAGTATGGAATAGTATAGAATGGTATGGAATAGTATTGAATACGGTGGTGGACAGGTTGCAATAACTCGTAACATTTTGTCCTTTTCCTTTCTTCGTCATAGTATGGAATAGTGTGGAATAGTATGGAATAGTATGGAATAGTATGGAACAGTATGGAATAGTATGGAATACGTTGGCGGACAGGTTGCAATAACTCGTAACATTTTGTCTTTTTCCTTTCTTCGTCATAGTATGGAATAGTGTGGAATAGTATCGAATAGTCAAGCAGCTACTGCTATTTTATTGCACGACCTGTGACGATGGTGTTGAGCTATTGCTCGAACTTTACATCAGTACACTATTGTCTTTTCTCTGTGTGTGCGTTTATGTGTGTGTGTGTGTGTGTGTGTGTGTGTGTGTGTGTGTGTGTGTGTGTGTGTGTGTGTGTGTGTGTGTGTGTGTGTGTGTGTGTGTGTGTGTTTGTGTCTGTCTTGCATGCATGCGCGCGTGTGTGTGTGTACATGTGTATGCTTGTTCTCACTACATGCCTACACCGATAACAGCGGATGGGCATACCGTTTCACCGCATCCTAATTGCCTCAAACGTGAACAACGTTCTGGAGGAGTTCATATCCACTGGCATGTACGACCTGACACACCGTTCTCTGGTCCAAACCATGTCACCAGCCATAGATATCCTAGTCTCGTCCAACGTTGAACGACTGCTTCACCTCATCGCTCGCGAGTCGCAAAACCCATCGCACATTGAGTGGGCCAGGCGGGCTTTCTTCGAGTTGAACCACACTCGCCAATTTTCAACGCCAGCCGACTTGGTCGCGGCGATTTCCTCGGAGCTTGCGCCTGTCTCCATCTCGGACGAACAGTGCGGTCAGCAAATCCGTGACCTGGCCTCGTCTGAACAGTACATTCTGGACCCGCATACGGCAGTGGCAGTGGCCGGGTGTCGGGATGGGAAGATCCCTGCCAGCGTTGCCCGGGTTGTCTTGGTAGCGGGCACAGCGCACTTTGCAAAGTTCCCGGATGACGTCAGCGCCGCCGTCGCCATTCCTGAGCCTCTCCTCTCCGACCTGTCTGGAGTCGTGCTGCACACTAGTCTGCAGGGCTCGCTGGCTGCATCACGTCAAGCTGATGTCGTCGAGTGTAGCGCATCCGTCAACGATATGAAGCGTATCGTTAAATCGGCGCTGCTTCAGCAAGCGGCTTAAGCGAAACAGCTGGCATGTGCCCTCCTGTGCATGTCATGGTATTGGTCTTGAGTGTACAGGCGGCCCACTGTGACCTTCCATAGCAATTAGGCGATAGCACATGGAACACGCATACCGGATGATTTAAAACTACCGGGGGAAGAGAGAACTGTTTGCATGTGCAAAATAATGATGTCGTGAGAGTACGGTACTGATGCCATGAAAGTATGGCAATGATGTAGTTAGAGCACGGTATGACAATGATGTATTCAGAGTACGGTATGACAATGATGTCATGAGAATATGGCAATGATGTAATTACAGAACGGTAATGATGTCATGAGAGTTCGGTAATGATTTATTGGGAGTACGGCAAAGATGTAATTTAAAATTAGAGTACAGTAATGATGTCATGAGAGCTTGGTAATGACGTCATGATAGTATATGATGTCATGAGAGTACCTTGCTTGGGATGACAGTGATACTGGCTTCAAGCCTATGGGTTATATGAACTTATATCCCAGTCGCTTTACGTTCTAATCTCGTGCCGACGCGGGCTGTGTTATCGAGACAGAATTCTTGCGTAGAGCACATTCCTGTCCATCCGTTAGTCTTACATATTTATCCTACTTGGGTAGCAACATATTTTTTCTTTAATTGCTCCACCTTCGAGCTCTCGTGTTCTCTGCTCTAACCATTCCATGATGGATCGCTAATGATTAGGGAAACGTCAGTGTTTCCTCGCCTCAATTGTAAGACTGCTCTTTATTGACAATATCGTTTTGTGGACGGGTATGTATTGTATGATAAATGATGATTGTCAGTTGGCATATGACAGAGTTGCCTGGCAAGCACATCGTGCATCTACTACTTACACAGCTGCGTAATGCCGATTCTTCCTTTTTTTTGAGATTTTTCTGATTTTCGGTCTTCTTATTTTTATTGGCATCGCAGATGATGGTGATAATTGATGTTGCAAAGGTGTCTAAATATTTTATTTCCTTTGAAGTATTTCTTGGTACCGTCAACAACATACATGTAGTTATAGCTAGCAGTGTCATCTCTCAATGGCTATTTCGCTATATGACTTGTCACATGATGTCTTGTCACCGACCATTACTTAGCTGGCTCTCACAGAGTGGTGGTGTCCTAGCCAAAGTCTGTACTGAGTGCTTGTTTCTATCCCATTTGATCACACTAGTTTCAGAATACGGCGTGAAAGTGATGCCGTCAGAAGTCGACAGATTACGACTTCTGGGTCAAATTGCATCCACTAACTTAGTACTGCTGTGGAAATTGAGGCGGCCACCCGCCTACCGGGCGCTGGCCTTGCAGCCGTGAGCACTGCTGGTGTATTTTTGCAGTGTGAGTTCTTTTCTTAAAGCATTCTTTGATCAATGTACATGCACAACCCCAACTAAAAGGAGGACATATTTCAAATTTTCAATGCTTTCTTCCAACGGATACTCTTCTGGCACGTTTAAAACAAGGAGTTTGAGGTACCGTATTTCCTCGATTAATGGACCATGCTCGAATAATAGACCATGATCAAATAGTAGACCCTCCTAGAGGCCTCACGGAAAAATGGTAGACCATGCCCGAATAAGAGACCCGGTCTCTTATTTGAGTTCATCGCTTTGCGCATGCGCACTAAGAAAGCACGTGGTGGATCAAAAAAGAATGCGATTTTCGGTTGCGCAACTACAATTTTTGTAGTGGCTAGTGCTTTCTTTCATTATTTGAGCACGGTCCACTATATTTTCATCGACACATCGCTAGAAATGGTGGATTTTAACACGTCATAATAATAGAACTTCTATATTTAATATGACGTGTTAAAAATCCACCATTTCCAGTGATGTGCCGATGAAAATATAGTGGACCGTGCTCAAATAATGGACCATGCCCAAATAAGAGACCGGGGGTCCAACCCTCTTCAAAAAACAAAAGACCGGGTCTATTAATTGAGGAAATACGGTATATCCATTTGCTCCTGGGCCATCCACCCCCCCCCCCCCCCACATCCCAACAAATGGCGTCTAACACCTGCAAAATCGGTGCGATGACGCGAAGACTAACGTACTGTACTAGATGCCTGATCATGGCTCCGGGGAAATGATGAATCCCCAGATTCTATTCCACACTCTGTGACACAAAGGTCCCCCAGGCATTACTTTAAACAAATTATTGTTACCTGCATGTACCGTAAAATCCCGCCAGAGCGCCCCTACCTCCTCGACGCTTCAGGTGGGGAGGGGCGGATGGGCGAGTCCTACTTGCCGCATTCAGTGCTACATGAAAAAGTACTCACCCTACGAAAACTGTTCATGCGTCTCGTACAGCGACCAAAGGTCAAGAGCCAGGAGTCGAACAGACCCGACAAAACGCAGGGTTTGTGCGAGGAGGCCCGGAGGGTGGGCACTGTTGCGTACATTTCCAACGGGGTCGAGCATGCGTCTGCAGTGCAGTACGGCATCACAGCCTGCGACAGAGTAATACGATTACACGAGGTGTTAGGACCGGCACAGTCACAATTAGACGATCGGAGTAAGTCGACAACGACAAGGAATCTCAAAGGTTCGGTATAGGATAAGGTAAGGCAAGCAAGACAAAGACCAGGCAAGGCAAGCAGGACAAGGCTAGACAAGGCTAGAAGGGGTAGAAGGGGTAGAAGGCTAGAAGGGGGAGAGCAAATGTTCCAGCAAGAGCTTATCTAGGGCCTGGGTAGCTATGGAGATAAATGTGCTAAAGCGCGAGTCCAGCTACCCAGGCCAAAGAAAGGTACGCTTTCCAACGGCCAAAGAGAGTTGGAAAGCTTGTGTCTTTGTGGGTAACCTGAACATTTGGGCTCATGCAAAATCGCACCGATTTTGGGATTTCCCCACAACTTTTTGCGTCCGCAAAAATGTTGTGCTGGACCGCATTCCTGTCACTTCGCAGTGGCTTTTCGTTGGTGCAGTTTGTATTTTGGAGTTCTATGACATTTTGGGTCTAACATGATCATGGAAGAGTGCTCTTTCGACGAGAACAGGGCTTCAACTGTAGCTTTACAGCAGGAAAGAAAATCGATGCTGGTGGTCAGAGGGAAGACGTGATTGAACGATTTCTTGGCTGTTTTATGTTGGCAAGTCAAATATTCACCCTGCCGGGGCGTAGGCAGGTTAGTTTTTCTTCAGCTTCGGCCGTTTTTACCTCTGCTGCTGAACAGCTAGATCCCTGGACGTCAACTGCCGGCCAAGCATGTCATTGTTACGTACGGCCGGCCTGCTGCGAGTGTTCATCCAAATAATAGTGTGATCTACAGCGGGGCTGCCAAGTTTGTCCATTGATGCTGTCCAGCCAACTTTGTTGCTGCGTCTTATCAGCCAAATCCAGTGTCATCTGCTGCGAATATGCCAAATTTGGCCATTGCTACTACTTCTAGTCCGTCACATACAGTATTATCTGCGGAGAATCTGCCAAATGATTCGTCCAGTGCAGCTGGTCAGCCAACCATTGTGGCATCTGCTACAAGCCTGGTGAATGTTGCTGTTTGTCAGTCAACATGTAAAACCATCGACCATGTATAAGTAATCACTCGTACATTGTTCACAATGCAGTATGTTGCTGGGCACCCATATTCGCCCTTCACAGCCAGTCAGCCACTAATTTTCCTGCTGGTGGTCATCCGTATATGCCAGCTTTGTCGGTCGGTCGGTACCCGTATGTCGCGTACTGCATTCAGTTGCGCATGTTGCCAGCTGCAACTAGCCAGCGAGTTATCTCACATCACGGTAATAATGGACGTACCTCACAGTGCTGCCCCTGCATGGGCTCTTTGGCCGCGTGAATGAGTGGAGAGATTTTCACAAAAAATTCCGGGGTTCCAGTAAGTAGCGGCAACACCCCGACCGCTCAGCAAGCAACTTCTGCACAAGCAGCACGATGTTCGGGCGTAGTGTGAGAGCCGGCGTCAATCTATGTCTGGAGGCCGTGGAGAATGATCAAACCATGACGGCAGAGATGCTGCAATATTTGAGTGGCGCGGAAGTGGATGGATTTGATGTGGCCGCCTCCTATTCTCAGTAGCGGTATTGCAGCAGAGGAGGCTAGCCGAGTTCTTGGCAGCCACCAAGAAAAAGCTGGAATCGCCCACAGCGGCAATCTGACAAGTGAGATGCTTTACAGCCACACCTGTGCCGAGGGCATATAAATCCCCTCAGATACCACCTGGGCTGAATTATCCATCAGGCAAGTGTACATGATGATAAACAATGTCTGTTTTGGGCTTAAGGTATTCATTTTGCATTGAATGAGTGGTCAGGCCATGCAACGAGCTTCTTACAAGCGGATGAGTATAATGTAGGGGCCTGGTGGGTCATGCAATTTGTGTGCAAGGGATGTATTTACTCATAATTCTCGGTGCTTTGCCGCTAAACCAGTGATGAAACATCACTATGATCCATGGACATGAAAAACAGAATCCATTATAAGGTATATGGGTACCTACGAAAGCATGAATAAGGAATAACGAGCATGAATGAGACAAGGGTACCTGCGGAAGCATGAATAATGAATAACGAGCATGAATGAGACAAACACCGAAAAGTGTGAAATAGTTGGGTACCTACGAAAGCATGAATATGGAATAACGAGCATGAATGAGACAAGGGTACCTGCGGAAACATGAATAATGAATAACGAGCATAAATGAGACAAGGGTACCTGCGGAAGCATGAATAAGGAGTAACGAGCATGAAGGAGACAAACACCGAAAAGTGTGAAATAGTTGTGTAGCCGATTACCGTATATCTGGTATCCTATTCTTACTTTGCCCTTGTCAGTGAAGTGTAAGAGAGCCCCAGTGCGGCTCAGAAGTGTGAAGGGTGCGAATGCCTTCGGGCAATGAAGAGAGAGAGAGAGAGAGAGAGAGAGAGAGAGAGAGAGAGAGAGCTAATGCCACACTGGCACAATTTCGTGGGTGTGAATGTCTTCGGGCAATGAGAGAGAGAGAGCTAATGCCGCAGTGGCACAGTTTGGTGGGTGTGAATGCCTTCGGGCAATGAGAGAGAGAGAGAGAACTAATGCCGCGGTGGCACAGTTTGGTGGGTGTGAATGCCTTCGGGCAATGAGTGAGAGAGAGCTAATGCCGCGGTGGCACGGAGATATTGCCGAAGTGGCACAGTTTGGTGGGTGTGAATGCCTTCGGGCTATGAGTGAGAGAGAACTAATGCCGCAGTGGCACGGTTTGGTGGGTGTGAATGCCTTCGGGCAATGAGTGAGAGAGAGAGAGCTAATGCCGCGGTGGCACAGAGATATTGCCGAAGTGGCACAGTTTTGGTGGGTGTGAATGCTTTCGGGCAATGAGAGAGAGAGAACTAATGCCGCGGTGGCACCGAGATATTGCCGAAGTGGCACAGTTTGGTGGGTGTGAATGCCTTCGGGCTATGAGTGAGAGAGAGCTAATGCCGCGGTGGCACGGAGATATTGCCGAAGTGGCACAGTTTTGGTGGGTGTGAATGCTTTCGGGCAATGAGAGAGAGAGAACTAATGCCGCGGTGGCACCGAGATATTGCCGAAGTGGCACAGTTTGGTGGGTGTGAATGCCTTCGGGCAATGAGAGAGAGAGAACTAATGCCGCAGTGGCACGGTTTGGTGGGTGTGAATGCCTTCGGGCAATGAGAGAGAGAGAGAGAGAGAGAGAGAGAGAGAGAGCTAATGCCGCAGTGGCACCGAGATATTGCCGAAGTGGCACAGTTTGGTGGGTGTGAATGCCTTCGGGCAATGAGAGAGAGAGAACTAACGCCGCAGTGGCACAGTTTGGTGGGTGTGAATGCCTTCGGGCAATGAGAGAGAGGGAGAGAGAGCTAATGCCACAGTGGCACGGTTTGGTCTGTGTGAATGCCTTCGGGTAATGAGAGAGAGAGAGAGAGAGAGAGAGAGAGAGAGAGAGAGAGAGAGAGAGCTAATGCTGCAGTGGCACAGTTTGGTCTGTGTGAATGCCTTCGGGTAATGAGAGAGAGAAGGAGAGAGAGAGAGAGAGAGAGAGAGAGAGAGAGAGAGAGAAAGAGAGGAAGAGAGAGCTGATGCCGCAGTTTCATGGGTGTGAATGCCTTCGGGAAACGAGTGAGAGAAATATT